ACACACACACACACACACACACACACACACACACACACACACACACAGCTTTTGTGGTCAGTTGTTTTATTGATTTTTAGACACAGGTGAGATAAAATCTCTAACTCGTTTAATTTTCTTGTGATGATGAACAATTATGAGTTATTTCTCAGCCAGTTTATTTTTCTTCAGAGAACTCTATCTAGGCACTAATGTTTTCTGACCATCTGCTTTTCTTTGTAATTTATTGGGAGTGATCACTAGAAGTGATGGAACGCATAGGGCTGGTTTAATGAGGCTTGTGGAGATGGCCTGAAGTCGCTCTTGCTGTCAGTGGTGTCAGTACACTAGGGGGCACTGCAGGTTGCCTAGAAATTGGCTTTTCTTAGGTTTCCTAGAAGTTTGAAGAGCTGAGAGGACATCAGGACATAACATCCGCAAAGCAAAGAGTAGGAGTGAAGGTGTGGAGTTCATCTGGATCTTTAGCTCTCAATTGTTCTTATGGAAAATCACAAATATCTAGAACCTGTTCAGTGGATCCCATTTGTCTATAGATCTATATAAAAAACAACAACAAAAAGTCATGCAAAGATTCTGCAAGGCTCTGCTTAACCTATGGGAGTCACTAGATTTCCACCAACATTTGCATACATGCACCCCACCCCCACTTCTTCACACATTTCCCCAGACTCCCTTATGTGATGGGCTACAAAGAAAATACAGTGTCCTGGGCCCTACTGTGACTGCCATTTCCTGCACAGTCCTAAAGCAAGTACAGTTCAGCAATCAGGACATGGAGGTGGTTGGAGTGCAATATTATGACACAGAGGTGGGCGGGGTTTCCTGTTCAGATGAAGGAGGAAGCTCAGTGATTCTGAGAACCTGTCCTCTGTCAGCATAGTGTGTCTGTGCACAACACTCAACCCCCGTCAGAGCTGGATAGAAGAATCCAAGCAACTGGACAGGGGCCATGGAGAGGAACCTGGGAGCTGTGCTGGGGATTCTATGGGTGCAGATTTGCTGTGAGTTGGACTCAGCTAAGTTGCTTTAGGGATTCTCCAGAAATGGTGGAGTGGGAGAAAGCCAACACACAGCTCCTGTGCATTCATCCTCATGGGAGTCTCCTGGGATATCTGACAGGTGTGGGTGAAAACCTCTCTCTGATTCTGGTTTGCTTTTCTGTTTCCAAGCAGGGGTGAGAGGAGCTGAGGTGGAGCAGAGTCCTTCAGTCCTGAGTCTCCAGGAGGGAACAAGTTCTGCTCTGAGATGCAACTTTTCCACCACCATGAAGAGTGTGCAGTGGTTCAGACAGAATCCCCGGGGTAGCCTCATTAGTCTGTTTTACCTGGCTGCAGGAACAAAGGAGAATGGGAGGTTAAAGTCAACATTCGATCCTAAGGAGCCCTACAGCACCCTGCACATCAGGGACACCCAGATGGAGGACTCAGGCACCTACCTCTGTGCTGCTGAGGCACAGTGCTCCCAGCAAGCCTACAGCCTGGCCCCAAACTGCCGCTGGGTGTGCAGCTCCAGCCCCTGACACAGGGAGATGCAGGAGGCTTTGCACAGCTGTGGCTTTATTAGATCTTCACCAATTACAAAGGAAGTGTGAGGAGACATAAAAATACCTCAAGAAGTTCACCCTTAAATTCAGACTGACCTGACACTGACTTCTAGAATGTTAATTCCTTAGAAACATCAGCTCACAATATTAAAATACACACTTAATTTATCAAATGCTTTTGCTAATGACATAAAATAAAACCTTTCTTACACAATCCAGAATCATTTGGGCCATTTCTCACAATCAGAAACTGAGAGCAACTGTTTTCTTCTTTGTTTAGAGAGCACCTGAGAACACTTTCAGCTAATTGGCTAAATATGAAGTTAAAGAAAGGATAAATTTCGAAAACCTAATAAATTAAGATAAAGAAACTCAAGACAAACAGATCTCATTATTAAATCAAGAGATCATTTCTACAATATCTTGCTATTTTTAACAGTGTAATACATTTAATTATGAAATGTAAAACAAATATTTCACATCAAAAATTATGAAAGCCAAAAGATGAATGACCAAATAGATAGTTTTGTGGTCGGTCAAACAATATTTATAGCAGTTGTTTCTTCTGATATATTTACACATCTGCAAGGTAACAGACAAAATTTCTCAATGAAACACTGTTTTCAAAGAAAACAACAACACAAAACTGAAAACTTCCTACCTACCACACAATAGGGGACTAACTCATTTTATATATGTTTACATTTATATTATTTACATTTAAATGTGAACCAAACAACTGTTTTTCTCCAAGGGTTGACAGACTATATTCCACAGCTGGGAAACTGTGGCCTGTCACTTGTTTGTGCATAGAACTAGAAAGCAGCCATGTCATTCATCCATGTAATGTCTGTCCATTGACATTTTGATACAGCAGCTGAGTGGTTACAACAGTCACTGGACTGGCTAAACATTTTCTTTCTAAGCTTCGCAAATTAACTGACCATCTTGTGATTCATCCCCATCGCAACTATGCTTGTTTAGAACATAGATTGCCCAGCTTCCCAGATAATAATTCCCAATTGCCAGTAAGATTTGCTTGAGCATGGCTAGAAGTGGTGTCACTAGAGTGAGAGCATTTACAGGAAGAATTATGAATTCAGTCATCTCAGAGGGTTCACAAATGGCAACCATCCTAATCCTAGCTTCCTGGTAGGGTGGGGCTATGGAATTAGGTGAGAATGGAACATGGCAATTAGATACAGACAGAGGTTACTCAGAAAAGGCTTTGTAACCAACTTGATAGATCTTTCTTCTAACCCCAATCCTGATTAATCTGGACTTGAATGCACTTGTTTAATAAACAAATGAGCTTGAGGATTACAGTTAGCAAGCAATTTTAGAAGTTTTCTAGCCAAAACAGACAATAAATAAAAAAGCAATATCAAAAATATTGTTTGATATAAATCCTTAAAATCAAAATCACAATTAAAGTTAAATCAAAATGCAAAAGGATAAAAGTTGTATCGATTGAGGAAAGCACCTTGCATTCTTTTCCATTTGCACTGACAGGCATGATGGCTGGATCATCTTCACCCCATGCCCTCACAATGTCTGTGAGCTCTCACACTTGAAGTTGACAATGCTCATTCTCTTTAGGTCTGGTTCACAACAGAATCTGTGTGATGGACAATACACTTCATCCTGTTACAGTCATCAGGCTTCTGCTCCATTTCCTGCAAGTCTCTTCTAGAGTCTTTTTTTCCCCCCTTCATTTCTTGATTCTAACTTTGGTGTTTTTATTAGCTTATGTTAAAGGCTGAATTTCATCCAGATATAGAACAAGTTCAAATTTCTTTTAAGACAGATGTGATCAGTTGCCACTGTTTCCTCTTCGTAATCAAAGTGGTTACTTTTGTGAATCTATTTGTCTCTGGCTATCATAATATCCTGACAAAACTGTTCATTCTCTTCTTCATTTGCTGTTTTAGTGTTCTGCCTCCTCATTCAAAGAGCCAATGTTTTTATTAACTTTCTTCTCTTTATCCAAATGCCCTCCACATTCTCTAATTCTTTATGATTTTTTTGTTCCAACTGAGTATCCCGTCCACCTGCAGACTGCTGAACCATCACCAGTTCATCTTCCAGTTTCTTTACTTTTGTCATCAGTTGATTTTCACATTTTGCTTGCCCTTCTCCAGCTTTTTCAATTTCTTCCAAAGCCAGGCCTACTTCTTCAGCTGTTACCTTCTTCAACATCTGTGAAACTCTGAATAAATTTACCATGCTTTCTTCATGTTCACCTTTTACTTCACTTATTTCCACCTTTGATGAGGAAATCCATAAATTATCTGCCAACTCTTCTTGTAGTGGCAGGTCACCTGGATCAACTTTGATTAATTCTGTCCAGTGTACTTTAGGTGGCTTCTTGAATTCTTTCACTGTCTTATACCTCCTAAGCCTTGCAAGCAGTGGCAATTGCTTATCTGCAGCAACTGCTGACCTGTTCATCCCTGGCCCGGCCTCTCTCTCCTACAGCCATCCTCACAAACACAGGCTCCCACCAGCTCCTCCTGAACAAGCCCAATAATGGTAACTTCTAGGTGACACCACTTTGTGTCTGATATTTTTATATAAATCACAACAGTGTAAACTCTGTTGTGTTTTCAAGTCATCGAGGGCACTTTTTTTTACATCTGGGGAGAGAAACGATTTTCTTTTTTATGTCAGGTTTCACAAAATGTATCACAACCTCTGTTGAGAATTTGAGTTTTCTAGTTACCCCTGAAAGAGAGTATCTCTTAATTCCAGAAATCCATCAAGATGAAGCTGTCAATGTGACTTTTGCTTCATATATTAATAAACCACTGGCCATTCTCAGTTTCTCCAAGTTGCAGGGTACATATATTTCTTACAAGAAAGGAGTGCTATGTTTAATGATTAAAAGCAGAGCCTCATAAAGGAGCATCCTGCCTATCTCTGCCTAGGCATTTGGTCCACAACCGTATCACACCACAAATGATCACTATATTGAGCAAAGTCCAATTTTATGTTATTTGACTTTAAGTTTAATCTTCACCATGATCTACTACCAATTCATTGTGTTATGGGATGTATGGAAACACTGATAAGATCTTATCTAATTTCTCCAGAGCCCTAGGATCTGTCAGAGAAACGGCAGGTATGTTAGATGCCTGAGAATATGAATGGTCTTAGATTTCCATAGGCTGAAACAATTTTTCCCAGTCTCATTATGCCCAACACTGCTCACAGATATTTTCTGTGTTCAGTAAGTAGCAAAAAAATTCAATGCCAGAAGAATTTATGCATGTCCCTCATACAATATCATTACAAAGCAGAAAGTATGTGCAAGCTGCCATTATAAAATGATTAGGTGATAAATGAACATGACTAGGTAGAAACTCTGTTTCCAGATATCTCCCTTTGCATTGTGTCTCCGCTTCATTCAGGCAGGAACAATCACCTCAAGGAAAATCAACCCTTGCAGCTCAGCATGTGGGGTCTGTAAAGGGCATGGTCCAATCTGCGTAATAACCAAAATCAACAGCTCCAATCTGTGTAAACACTGGCACTTTGAGCATGAAATAATCAGGCTGCAGCACTGCAGTTCTCTTCTGGTTTTAAATTGAAAATGGATTTTCTCCACACTATATATTCTAGTCTATGTATCCCCTCCCTCACCTCCTTCCAGATGCTCCCCATCTCCACACATACAATTTCATTCTTTAGTTTCTCTCTCTCTCTCCTTCTTCTAGAAAAAAATATCAGGCAAATAAGAAAACCAAACATAGCAAATAGAAAAACAAAACAAAACAAATAAAATGTGAAGCACATGCACACGCAGAGACATGTGCACACAGAAAATCCATAAGAACATGAAATTGGAAAACATAATCTATAGGTAAATGGCAGATATGGCAAACCATGCCCAGGGAAAGAATTATGATACAAAAAAATAAAAATCCTGAAATACACCATTGATTTGGCCGTCTACTACTGAGAACGAGGCCTTCTCTAAGTAAGACTCTGTTAGTGAAAACTAAACTCACAAAGACAAATATGGTGTGTATTCTCTTACGTTTGGATATTAGATTTTAAGCCTTCTAAAGGCTTGCCACAGTCTGTATACCTACAGAAGATAGATACAGAGTAGGCACCTAGAGGAAAGGGAAGAGTTTCCTGAATGGGGGAAAATAGAATAGATAGTTAAAAAGACAGGGAGGACGGTGGAACCAGGGGTAACATTTCCTCTCTAAGCTGGTTATTATCAGGCTTCAGATGAGAATAGAGAGACTGTGACAGAGAGCAGGAAGGACAGTGTGAGTAACCTGCGTGTACAAGTCCCTGCCAGTGTGGGCAGAAAGTGTTTTTCTACATTGAAAACTGACAGGATGGAAAGTGGATGTGCTAGAGGGGGTGCCGTTAAGTTATACAGGAACTAGGTAAGCTGGGTTCTCTGCAAGGCTTGGTGGAGACCCTATGTGATGGAAGCAAAGAGGAAGGACAGGTCCCTGAGGTGGTCTGCTGCAGGGCTTACAGTGAAACTGGGGAAACTGCCCTGTAGGACATGGAGGTGAGTGAAAATGGACCACTTTCTTTCCAGGTGGGTGTGGCCACCAGGTAACCAGTTGGAGTGTCTTTATTGGCTTTTGACACAAAGGAATGTGGATGAGAACGAAAAGAAAATGCAGCAAGGTACAATTGAGTTTCGAGTAAATGGAGGAGGAATAAGAGGGTAGGCCCCTCAACTCTTCTGTTAAGGAGATGTGGATGGTACCAGAGAAATCTAAATGATGGATGAGAGTGACAGTGAGGACAGCCTACAGGCTTCTAAGCCTGTGTGGACACAGGGTTCTCAGAGGGTTTCAAATCACAGTTGACACAAAAAAAAGGAAATCTCTTAGAAAGGCCTTAGGGTATGCTGGGAGGGTACACAGGAAGGAGGAAACCTGAGGTGTCTTTTTTTTTTTTTTTCAAGGCTTGGCCAATTCTCCAGGATCCACACTACTTTTCTA